GATTTTCACTGCTGCTCTTGGGGAGAGGAGGAAAACAAACAAACAAACAAAAGGTGCAGCCTTACGGTTGCTGTGACACACAAAAAACCCTCAACCACCAGCAGAGCCTTTAAGGTCACTGTCAGGATAGCACCTTCTGCAGCTCTTTTCTGTCCTGTGTGCATCCTCCTTTCTCAGCTGCAGCTACGCCTAGCTCCTCTTCTCTGTCGCAGCGCTAGACCTAAGCCAAGTAGACCTGAAGACACATGGACATTTCCATCCGACAGGCCTTTCACAAGTCTCCTCCTAGTCTGTTTTTATTTGCTAAGGGGACTTAGAGTTTCATTGAGGTCGTGCTTGTCACACTTGGGTTCAAAGCTCCCACTTGTTGCATCAGTGGCAAAACTCCATCTGTGGGAGAAGGATTTGAACATTTTTTTAATAACTGATTATTAGCTTCCATGTCTTGTGGTTCCTGTAGGATCACTCATGGAGGCATAATGTATATAAAATGTTAAATAAGCCGTGTGTTGAATGGAGTGGACAAGTTAGTTAAGCAGCTCAAGTACACTTGGAAGAAAGATGACCCTGACATCGTTTTGAGGAGATTCAAGTAAAGTTGCTCAATTTCAGTGAAAAAATAAAATAAAATTAAAATCTGTATGTAGACTCGTGGATGAAACCTTCCACCCTCGTATGCATGCACACAAGTGGGGACATTGCTTCTATTCCTAGGTTGCAACTCATGTGTCTTGCAGAGCTGTTTAGGATGAGGGTTGAGAAGGTTTAGGCACCACTTGCCTGCAAAAACCAAACCTGCCAGGGTGCCCAAGTGGCCTTTTCTAAATTGGGGGTGGTGGAAGGGGGGAAGTCATGACAAAATCCAGGACCATGGCCCCTCCAAGGAAGCCTTAAAGTTACACTTGGAAACTCTCATGGCTCCTTGTAGGGGAGGCTGGGACTGGTGTGGCTTCAGGCAGCTGCCTGGGACTTGTTTTCTCCAAATTCAGCATTCAAAGCCTTGTGTTTAGGCTTGAGGTGTAGTTGTGTATTTGTATATTTGCATGAACAAAGGTCAGGAACTCTCAGACCCTAGTAGCTTGTTTTATTTCTTATAAGCAAAGATAAGCTTAAGATAGAAAGTACTTGTTGATTCAGTGAAACTTGACACCTAAGAAACCCATCAAGTGTTAAAGAGGTCCCTCTGAGCTCCACAGTTTGGTCACAAAAAAATTTCTATTGGTATCAATGGTCAATTTGAGTTTATGAAAAAAGCTTGCTCAAGAAAGACTTGAGTGTAACCAGCCCC